CTGCAAACTACTGGCTTGCACAGACTTGTTTCTGCTCTTCACCTTCGCATGACTGCAGTGTGCATGTAATCTCTAGTGGGCAATGAGAGCTCCTGTGCCTCTGCATTCGCAGTCTTGGCCAGACTCTGTATTGGGCCCCAGGGGTTGTGGAGATGAGGCATAAAACAACCATGCCCCTACCTAGGGGAGCTGGTGGCAAGGCGGCGGGGCTGTTGTCTGTCGGCGTGCTGTTTGACTTAAATGTGTTCATTTGCCTTAACTCCTGACTCCCTACGGGGAGGGGCAGCTTGGGGAGGAGGAGGGGCTCGCTAACGAACCTCTGACAGCTGGAGGCCCTAATTAAACGTCCCCGCTGAAAATAAACAGAGCCGGAGCCAAGCGGGCAGCAAAGAGCGGCTTGCGAACGAGCGTTCGCTCGCGGTGCCCTCCTCTCTGTTGCTGTTGACACATTGCCAAGAGAGCATGAATGACTTTATAGGGCGGGGGTCTCAAAGGCACCCTCACATATACACACATACGCAACACTAACGAGTATATAGCGCAGCCGCAAACACATTTCGAGTACCTGCGGTCACACTTGATGGGAGTCGATCTCCACAGCTGTGAACGCAGTATATTTTTTTACTCCTGGTGCTTACAGGAATCGTACCTTGCTTGTCCTATATGTTTCCCGCTGCGCAGCGGCAGAATAAAGCAGCCCGGCTCCATTGGGGGGATAGTGGGGTTTCACACTCCGTCTAGCTGGATGACATGTCTGACATTCAGCCTGTTGTGCTGCAACGGCTAGCCCGAGCATTAGCAGTCAATGTGGCGGGGTCCATTTGAGCGAGTGCATTAATGGGCCGCCCAACCTGCGACAAGGTTATGAGGCTGATTGAATAATTACTGTGGAGGCTCCTGTCCATTACGGCCCCGTGTCCGCTCAGATGGAGGCAGACTCAGTGAGAGATGCAGAGATAGTTTGAGACAGAAAGATGGGGAGGGCAGATTAGATAAGCACAGATAGGGTCAATTAAGAGATAAACACACAGGTATGGGCTGGAGGCTGGCTGTGCGTGTGTGTGTGTGTGTGTGTGTGTGTGTGTGTGTGTGTGTGTGTGTGTGTGTGTGTGTGAGCGTGAGGCTGTGAAAACGGTTTCCTGTCTGTGTCTCCTTTTGATCCCTCCGTCCAGCCCCACACAGCCTAATTTGGCATGAAGAGCATTTATCCAGGTGAGGCAGAAAAGGTGACAAAGGTGAAGTTGTTAGACAGAGGTGCTCTGCCCTCCGCTTGACCCTGTCGACTCGCCCAGATTCCCAAGGAAGGGATCTGTCGGCGTTCCACTTATGGGATTAAAATATATAGGTTCACTGTAGGTGAATGAAAATGATGGCAGTGGGAATACTTTAGGAAGAGCTTAACGTAAGGCTGGAAAATTAACCTCGTTTATCAAACAGTTGTACCAACATGACACGGGCCGTTGTGAAATCGTTTCTGTACAATAGCATTGGTTTATACTACTTTTTATGCCTTAGGAAAAATCAAAAATGTAGGATCAAACACCAAATAAATCGAGCTGTTAATTTCCAGTGTTTATTGTGCGGAACGTTTCATTTTATTTTCTAAAGCTCTGCAAGTATACCAAGGTGATATTAATTGAGATATCTGCCCGGTTAGCCAGTCTGGAGTCCGTTTGCTGAAACAGCGTTGTTCTAATAGGAGTGATTGGTTTCACTGCTTTAGTTTCCAGACCATGTCTATCTCTGTTTTTATCATTGTCACATTTTTTTTTCAAACAGCAAAATGTAGTTTTTCTTGTAAGCGAGGGGATAGTGAAGCACTGGCAGGACCAAGCAGCAGCTTCCTCGCTGTAAGCTGTAGAAAACTTGATCTGGTCGGTCTGGCTCTCTGTTTGGAAACTCATTGAAAGGCATTTAAGTCGACTTTTTAAAACCTTCGTATACCTCGGTTCTGAAACTGACACGATTGGATTTTTTTTCACAAGATATTAAATGTAATTTCAAAAAGAAGAAGTACAAACGCAAATAATTTGTAATTCAACTTGAAAAATATCTAAAGAATATTGCGTTTACTTTGCAGAGCGTTTTCATCATTTTCAAAACTAGGATTAATTGTAAAAGTTAAATTACGACCCAGTACGTTTCATATTATTTACAAAAAAAGCAAAAATGTAGAATACTGATCAGGTTAATTTACCGGTTAGTAATTCTGCTCTTCACAGAGGAACTTAGCTGCAATTAGCTGGTTAATTGGTTGAGCTATCTGCTGTGGTAGTCAGCCTGCAGTCACTCCACCAACCAGTTGGAGTGATTGGTGGTGGAGCCAGAAACATTTGCAAACAACTAAATCTTTCTTTCTTGCAAGCAGCTAAAAGTGTAAGATTGCTGTTTCTGCCAGCTGAGTGCCAGTGCACAGCAACAAATGGTGGAGGGGCGTGCCACCCAGATGAACTCCAGAACTTTCTTCGTTATCTCACACGGGAGACGTTGCCACTTCTTTTTGTCTTACATGTAGTCGTGTACCACAGAGATCCAGGTTTGATTGTAAACGACTCGGCTGGTCTCTCCATTGTAAAATAACCAAACTAAGGTCAGGAAAAACTCACCACCTCGCTCAGGTAGTCAACTTCTCTCTGTATTTTGTGGATTATTAAGCTCTGTTACTGTATGTCGTTCGTACGCTGAAGTTTTTAAATATTTATGCGAATGCATACAACATCTGTGCCCACAAAGGCCAGCTTTTACATGGCTGACCTCGGATCATGTCAGAAGTAGACATCCTACTTTTCTGCTGTTCCCTTTAGCTGCTTAAAGACAGAATAAAACAATGAAAGATGACCCGATCTCTCTCTTTCTTTGTGAAACTGATTATTGACTTGTCTGCCTTTGAAATCTGTCCAAGAAGATTTCTCGCTTGCATTTAATGTTGGCTGTTTAAGGTCAGATTTGCGAAATGATATCTGCCAAACCTGCCCGGCTTCTGCTGACCCCTCTTAGCCGAGGTCAGCATAGCCATGCTCGAACTCGAGACATAATCCATTTTCCTTTGCCCTGGCAAAGCTCTACTGACATGATTGTGCTGACCCAGCCAGCCTGAAGGAAGAGGGAGATAGAGACGGAGAGGCAGAGAGAGAGAGAGAAAGAGAGGGGGCATGTGAGGCCCAAGGGCATGACACCGAGGTGCTGGGGGCCACAGCAGCCCTTTAAATGTCAACACAGCACAGAGGGGAGGCAAACTGTTGAGGAGCAGAGCGGTGTTTGAGGACCACGGAGAAAACTGGCAGATTCTATGACAGGAGTTTTGAACGTTGGCACAATACAGCAAACAGAGGAAGTGGACAATGTGTTTTGTCCATAGAGATATTTGGTTGAAACCACAGTCACTAGTTTGGAAACTTTTTTCCCGTGAATGGGGCATTTAGTGAGGTCATTCTTTTGCATATTTGTGAACGCTTTTGTCCCTTTGGAAATGTATACATATTCTATTTTACTTTAGAGTTGATAAATCAACACAAAGTAGTGCGTATGTGTGAGGTGGAAGGAAAATTATGCTTTGTTGGCGAAGTTTTTTTTTTACAATTAAAACTCTGGAAAAGGGTTGAAGACAAAATCCATTGTTGAAAGAAAGACAATAAGTCCAATTTTCACTTTGTCATAAGCCAGGAAAAACAGCAAACACATGGAAGAGGGTGCTCTGGTCAGATAAGAGTGTTTTGGCCTACATGCAAAATGCTACATGTAGCAGAAAACCAACACTACACTTTACCCTGAACGCACCATAATGACGGGAAACATGGTGGCGGTAGCATCCTAGTGTAGAGATAAGTTTTCTTGAGCATAGACAGGAACGTCGTTTGTAGTTGATGCAATGTGAAACCGTTGCACGTATTTCTCTCTCTCTTTTCTCTATTTGTGTCTCGTTCTCTCTTTCTTCTCCCAGATCAGCCCCATCTATCATTTCCATCATATGACCATACCCTTTATCCGATGTTTATGAAATTCAAAACACCAAGAACATTCTGCATGAAGACCCAAACACAGTTCAAATAAAATACATAACACTTTTCCAATTGCATTTGATGAAAATGCAGAAAATACATGTTTATTTTATTATTGCACTTCCAGAACGACAGCTAGAACTGATGAGAGTAAAACCCATCTCTAATCACAGATCAATTGATTGGTGCATCTTATTACAAACTGTAATAAGTTTTGTCGACCAGCTGTCCATAATCTTCAGATGTTTATTAGCTGATAAGTCACAAGCATGTGTACATAAAAGATGTGTCGCTTCATGTAGATGTGGCCACGCTACTTTTTGAGAAGCAGTGAAGACCCAAATGAAAGTAATGCAAAAATGAAAATTTTGCATAAGAGGACCCCTTTAAAATAATTACTGCAAACACGAAGAATCTTGGGAGATCTTGCATTAACTCCCTGGAAACATAACCAAAAAAAAAAAGAAAAGAAAGGAAAAGAAAAGAAAAAGGGAAAAATATCAGGCCTAGAAAAGACTGTCTGCAGCAGACGAACTGTATTTTAAAGAGATTTCCCTAAGGAATAGCAGGGAAAAAATATAGTGAAGACCTGAGACAGGACCTTAGAGATGCACCTGGCTCTTCACTTCATCCATCTACTGTATGCCAAGTTTCCAGCAAAGAGTCCTTCGGGAATCACCTTGTAGGTGCAAAAATCCAACCTCCACGTCTGTCAAACTGTTATTTGGGGAATTTCTATAGACTCAGCAATAAAAATTAGGACAAAATGTAAGTTTTTGTTATTAGTAACATGCCAAAAGATCCAAGTAAAGTGTCAGTTCTTCTTGTACTATACAGAAACATCAAATGCATTTTAGACAAAAACACGGAAGCTTACAGTACGTAATAAATTTCAGATCATCAAACTGGAATGTGGGCTCTCTGCTCATAAACTTTAAGTAGATCATGAGGATTTCATGGCAAATATTGATGACTGAACCAAGGTCACTTGGTTAATTTACTTCTTACATTTTACCCGTTTCTCGTGAATTTCCAGGTCTGAGTCTGTCGCAATCCGAACCGACCGCAGCCTTCGTTAAGGAGCGGCGCCCGGCGCTGGATTGGAGCAAGCATGGCGAGCATGCCGTTTGTCAGCGAGGGGAAATGTGTGAGTGTGGAGTGGGATTTCCTTCAAGGACTTCTCGCCAAACCTCCTACACTACCCTGGTAAGACCCTGCAACCCACACACACACACACACACACATAGTGTATCTATGTATCTATCTATATATTTCTGTCTTCACTCTCTGCAAAAGCACAAGATCTTACCAAGTGTTTTAGTTGTAGTGCAGTTATCTTTGTCGATTTAAAATTAGACAAAACTAAGTAACTTTTCAGAAGGTTTATGGGAGCTTCTGAAGTCAATATTTTTTAATATAGATGAAAAAGTATACAGTTATATGTTCCACTGGCTCATAACTAGTACTTTTTCATCTTTATTAAGGAATTATTGACTAAAAACAAGCCCCTGTATTTTGCTGAAAAGTTACTTGTTAGTTAGTTTTGTCTTATTTTAAGTGTCCTAAGATATTTGTCCACCAGAAACTGGATCAAAAGAACTCAGTAAGATTTTGTGTCTTTGCAGTGAAGGACTTTGCATTGACTTCCACAAATTTCTAATTAATTTCTGTAGCCCAACCCTGACCCTGGCCCCAAACCCAACAATTCTGTCTGTACATGTCTAACTCTAAACATCGCCTAAACTTAATTTGCACGCGAGTCATAAACCTAACCCCCAACCCAAAAACAGCACCTCACAATGTAAGTATTTGTCGGACAAATGGGCTTTGCAAGATGAGAAATGCTAACACGCACACACACCCACACAGACCAATATAAGCCTGGGAGCATGCCCATGAATTAATCTCCACAAGGTGAAATCCATGGGTTGACACCCTTGCACATACTGACAGCCTGATAAAGAGTTCCCCTTCAGTGAAACACAATACAGAAGACGTAAGTCTGTTCTGCTCAGCGCTACATTTCACCTGCGCCGGTGCTCACCTGCCAGTCCTGTCAGACACGGGACCCCCTGCACCTTCCCCTTAAAGGAGATTAAGTAAATTTGGCAGGAATTATTAATGGCCAGTCATTTACAGGCGGATATAAAAACTAAGCAGAATCAATGTGTGCGTATTGATTGTTCTCGGTGGCTGGGGTCGAGGCAGTATAATAATGAGATGTTACACGGGCTGGCAGCATGAGTCCACACACACTCGCAGGGAGGCACACCGATTACACTTGTTAGGGGGGCGAAAAATACAGCAGCTGTGCCACCTGATTAAGATATAACCATATCTGCACACACGAATTTAACACACCTTTTATTGCACGCGCACGCTGGAAATCTCGGCGCGAAAACCCCGTAGACACAAGAGAGAATGTCACGCCCGTGTACACACAAACACTTTATTCCAGCGCTGCACTGACACAAATTGTGAAGTGGCTGTGACAACATAATTCCACCACTCAGGCCCCATTGAGGAGAGTCAATACCCAATCACAGAGTCAGGCTACCTGAGCCCCGGCTCCCTCCACCCAGCCCCCCGCTCTCTGTCACTCTGCCCCTCCCTCCACTATTGATCCCTCAATCACAGCTACAGCTCACTAGCCCGGGACCAGATGAGGGAGAGGCAGAGGATTTAGATGGAGGGAGGGAAGGGAAAGGAGCGATAGGCAGGGGAGAAATTGTGTGCACAGGTTCACATATGGATTTTAGAGCAAATAGTATTATTAGGACTCTGGTCGAGTGGATAAAAGAAGAGGAGAGTTTGTAATTATCAGGCTCGTATTCAGGTGATTGTTTCTCTGCAGCAGCTGGATCCAATAAAACTCTATGTATTCTTTTTTTTTTTTTTAAGTACAATGCGAACATTCGTCATACAGATTCATTCATTCATCAAACTTGTGCCAGTGCGAAACCGAAACCGATGCTACTTTACGGTTTATTTGGAAAAGTCTTTGTACTTTTTAAGATTTTTCAAAAATTATTTACAGCTAATGATGTAAAAATCTGATTCATCACATCCTTTTAAAAAATCCAATGTGTTTTGTTAGCTAAAACTCTTTTTGCAGGGAACTATTTCAGGTTTAAAATGAATACTGTACAACCAGGCTGGAAGTGTTGTTGAATGATTCATATTAATCACATTATGTGCCATAAAACAACTGCTCTAAATAAACACTGACACAGACTGGAAGACATCACACACACACGAAAGAAATCCTGCAAAAAAAAAAACAACAACAACTTTTTCATTTGTTGCTACGTTTTGTTACTGAAAGTCTTTTCGGTTTAAAATAAATTCTGTACAAGGTTCAATAGAAATAGAAATCAAAGACTGACTAAAAAATAGCAGCACAGAGTTTAGAAGAAAAGCCATCATTTCACAAAGATGAACAAATCACTTTCCACCAAATGACTCACTTTTTTTAGGCTTTATTAGGTTGTATTGAACACTTCAAAGACAGGAGGGAGAAGGGTAAGACATGCAGCTAATGAGACCAGGAATCGAACCCAGGACAACCGAGTCCAGGACTACAGCCCCTCAACATGGTGCACACACACTATCAGCTGAGCCGCCCAGCACCAAATGTTAGTCAATCTTTGACAAAGACTGCAAAGTAAAAGTTCATCCTCCTTTTGTCCGTTTGTCAGCTAAATTGTAGTTTCCACAAACCCAGTTTTGATATCACAATATCTGATCCATAATGACTTTAAGCTAAAAGTTAATTTCATACAATACCTCTTTGTTTTCTAATCATTGTGGCTTGATTGTCAATTTATGGCACATCAATTTGACATCAATTTCCTGCGCTGTTTTAGAATTGTAGTCCCGTCTGTAGTTTCAGCAATAGAAGTGGAAGAAGTGAACAAAGCCGTTCAGTTGATATTGAATTTACATTAAAAGGTGAGCATCTTGGCCTCAAGCGCATTAGATGCGTCGCAGGCAAACATTAGTGATTGGGTAAAATTTAAACCCTCAACACAGTCCACGCCACGAGGAAGCAATCATTTCTCAGACCCTCTGGACGAAACAAAGTGTAGTACAAGGGGGCTGGTCATTACCAGGCTACTGTTAAGTCCATCATCCAAAAATTAAAGCAACAACTCCCATAATCCTTACATGATTCTGCAAACAGGTGGAAGAAGTTTTGAACGTCTCCAGATTACGTGTAAAGCACTATATGTGATGAAAACATTAGCATAAAGTAGTCTGTACTGCCCACCCCGTCGGTGAAAGATTGCTGTAGCCGCATTATGCTGGAGGGATACTGTTCTTCATCAGGGGACACAGAAGCCAGTCAGAGCTAATGGGAAGCTAAATACAAGACAGTTCTTGAAGAAAGCCTTTGAAAGTGGTCAAACAGATTGAGGTTGAAGTTCATTTTCCTGCTGGAGAACAACCCTAGACACATGACAGATTAAAGCAAACGTGAGTGTTAGAATGGCTGCCCAAAGTCCTGACCTAAAACCAAGTGGGATTCTGCAGGAAGACTTGTTCACAGATACTCTGCATGCAATGTACTGAGCTTAGGCTATTTTCCAAAGAAGAATTGGTAATAATTTCAGTCTCGCTACAGTATGTGTGCAGCTGGTGTAGACATATCGCTAAACACTTGCAGCTGTATTTGCAGAAAAAGGGAGTTTTCTAAATTATTGACTTTGAGAGGCTGACAAAATGCATACCACACTTATTAGCTTTTGTGTACAATGATACCAAACTAAGTGTTATTTTACTAAATAATGGACTACGAGTTGAAAAGCCTTATGCTACCAGATCTAGAACTCAAACCATGTGGTTGGAAAACCATATCAATGGCCAGAAAGAGATATCCATGCTAGTTGCTCTGATTTTGAACATCAGTTTATAAATTTTTATGTTTTTTTTTCTCTCTTGGTGCATTTATTTGTCCATTAAGTTTCCTTTAGTCTCTTGCTCAATCTACTTGTAATACACTTGTGTTTGTTTCTCAGTCTCCAGAACCTGCGTAAAGAGAAATCTCGCAATGCAGCTCGTTCTCGACGGGGGAAGGAGAACTTTGAGTTCTTTGAGCTGGCTAAGATGCTGCCTTTGCCAGGGGCCATCACGAGTCAGCTCGACAAAGCGTCAGTCATTCGGCTGACTATCAGCTATCTACACATGCGCACCTTTGCAAGCCAAGGAGACCCACCGTGGAGCCCTCTGCTGGAGGGAGACAACAACTGCAGCAAAGGTAAGTTAGAAACCAAGAAACCTAGATTAATCCCAGGCTCAGTCGTGTTACAGTTGCAAGTTTTGAAACTGAAAGGATTTATGAGTTCATCAAGTGCCACCATCCGGCAACTTTTGGATGTGTCTCCAACACACCTGAATCAAATGAATGGTTGATGACCAGGGCCTTTGCAAAACTTGCTGACATGCTGCAGTTCAGCCCTGTGATCCATGCTTAGAGCAGAAAAAGTTACAGGACACTTTGAGTTTCCATCAGTGTTTATTTTATGTGCATTTCAGGAACAGTTAATGGTCATGGCAAAATTTTAAATATCTTCCTCAATTTTGCAAAAAATATTTGGTAGCACTTTATTTGAAGGGGTGCGCATAAGACTGACATGACACTGTCATGAACATGAAGAAGTCTTTTTGAATGTCTGACTTGTCATGAAGTGTCATTCGGTAAATAATGACACTTC